TTCATATATCATTAGGTTGCTACATTTTCAATGGATCATATTATTTACATATCTTAGTACCCTCAGGTGTCTATATGGGCTTTTGAGCTCTTATATTCATTTAAACATAACATTTATAATGTAAAGTATCCAAGTATTAGCTATATTAACATAACATATAAACATAAACATAATCATAAACATAAATATAAGAGCGACTCGTCAGTGAAACGTGACTTGACTCACTAGGCATCAAGGGGTTGTTACACACCTACCAAAAAGGAATGAATGGATCATACCTCCGTGACACTAGCTACTAACAAAAGAGTGCTATCACTGATCTGCAACAAAAATCATGAAGGAAAATAACATGTGAGTCATAAAGACTTCGTGAATAGTTATGGGAAGGGGAAAAGCCAAAAGGAAAGTGTTTTGTAAACATGCACTTGTAACCACATGCCATTCATAAACCATTTAATCATAAAGTTCATGAAGCATAGTATTTAAATACATTTTAAATAACATTTGCATGGAAAACAAGTTTTCATAACCTTTAGAAACCTTTGGCCTTTGAAAAGCCTTTAATCATGCGTAACAATTCAATTTTGTCTTGCATCTATCGACAGATGAAGGTATCTATTGACAGGTGGGACACAGAATGCTTCTTAAATCATTTTGTCTTCTATTTATCGATGAATGTTTTTCAAGTATTGATAGATAACTGCTAAAACTCTATTTTCTGGGTAAAATCCTTCATTTTACCATTGCATATGTCTTTCTAACTTAAGGGTTCATTTCCTAAGCTAAGGTTCTATCTAACCAAGCCAAAAATCACTACAATCTAGTGCGAATAGCATCATCATCAAATGTTATATCATAACAAAAACATTCAACATAAAACACATCATTTTCATACTTATTTAATCATAGCTTAAATTCAGTAACCTCATTCATCTTGGCATCCTTAATTAAAAGTGGGTTCATTTCATTTCACTAAATGGTGGTATAAACCCCCATTATCTTGGGTTCCTAGTGTGTTCTTGTGGATGGCACATCGACTTCACCCACAAAGTAATGAATGGTTCCATCGCACTCGGGTAGGTAGGGGACAAGGTCCTTACTATTGTTTAATCCAACTTGTGTCCATCATAGCTGCTTGAGTGGCACATCGACTTCACCCACAATCATCATAAAATTTCTTAAGCTTAGGATCATTCTCATCCTTAGCTTATAGTGCAAACATGTGCTTTTTCATACATCATTCTCATACATGTAAATATTTTCATACTTAGCCTATAGTATACATGAATTCTTCCTTAACACATACAACTCATAACTTACATATCATTTCTTAACTTAAGAGGGAAATCATACATCCTTCAAGATATAGATATCATAACATTTATGTCATGTCTCTCATTATCTCATAAGTGGCAACTCATGCATCCATAATCATAGCTTCATCATGTTCATATATAGCATAATGGATGAAGACTCATGCATCCAACATTATCTTTCATGCTACATTATGCCAAGTATGTGCATTACAACATTTATGCATTAACATGGATAATGTCTTGTACCCACACTAGTTTAAAGGCTGAAGTAATTGAGTGGAATACAGACATAAACGAGTTTGTCCCCTCTTGTTAAAAACTAATATAAAGTAGAGTATTTAGATATATAATAGATCCGCAAACAATTTAAAGAGAGAAAGTTATGAGGAATAACCTTTCTTGATAAGGGCATTTCAAAAATAACCATCAAAATAAATTTAACCGTTTTTAACCATATTTATCCATGACTTAACAAAAATACCTTTGAAACTATTTCAAATAAATTAAAATATTCATCACAATTTCTTCCCATTTGTGCTTCTGATCTCTCTCTCTCAACATCTCACTCTCTCTAATTTTATCGATTTCTTTCTTCGGCATTCATCTGCTATGCTCTCAATTTCTCTCTCTCACGCTTTCATATTTCTCTTTCTAGTACTTTGAAGGCACCAAACGATAATTTTGATGTGCTTGAGCGGATGGCTATTTAGAGAATTTGATTTTTAGGTATTTTGGATAAAATTAAATAGTAAAAATGATCACAGATGTTTAAAAATAGCTTTTAATTGGATCAGTTCGAGATCTAGACACCAATAACCTCAAAAATTTAAAATTTATAATCCTAGGTTTTCAATGAATTTTTTTTTTACTTTTAGTCAAAATAGGTGTTTTAGATAAGAAAAT